TTTCTCCAGTTTCTCGTGCTCCTTTTTCCTGATGTTGCAATCACTTGGTATTGCTACATCTACCACAACGGCTTTCCTCTGATTTTTATCCACTACGACAATGTGGTTGGTTCGCCATTACCATTTTGTCTGTCTGGATCTGGAAGTCCCACAGGATCTTAGCTCTGGTGTTCTCTACCACCTTTGGGGGTGTTTCCCACTTTGATCTCGGGGTTTCCAGTCCATATTCTGCACAGATGTTTCTGTACACAATGCCTGCCACTTGGTTATGTCGCTCCATGTACGCTTTCCCTGCCAGTATCTTGCACCCTGCTGTGATGTGCTGGACTGTCTCAGGGCCTCCTTGCACGACCTACACCTTGGGTCTTGTCTGGTGTGGTAGATCTGGGCCTCTATTGCTCTGGTGTTTAGGGCCTGTTCCTGGGCGGCCAGGATGAGGGCCTCTGTGCTATCCTTGAGTCCAGCTTTTTCCAGCCATTGGTAGGATTTACTGATATCAGCCACTTGGGTTATTTGCTGGTGGTACATCCCATGTAGGGGCTTGTCCTCCCATGATGGTATCTCTGGCACCTCAACCTCCGTTCCCTGTTGTCTGAGACATTCACTGAGCACATTGTCTGTTGAGGCTTTGTCCCTGATGTATTTATGGATCTTAGTTGTTTCGTCCTGGACAGTGGTTCTCACACTCACTAGTCCTCTGCCTCCGTCCTTGCGGCTCGTGTACAGTCTCAGGGTGCTGGATTTGGGATGGAACCCTCCATGCATGGTTAGTAGCTTTCTAGTCTTAATATCTGTGGCTTTTATCTCCTCCTTTGGCCAGCTGATTATTCCAGCAGGGTATCTGATTACTGGCAGGGCATAGCTGTTTATCGCACTGATTTTGTTCTTGCCATTGAGCTGGCTTCTCAGGACTTGCCTTATTCGTTGGAGGTATTTAGCTGTGGCTCCTTTCCTTGTGGCCTCATCGAGGTTGCCATTTGCTTGTGGTATACCTAGGTACTTGTAACTGTCCTCTATGTCTGCTATTGTTCCTTGTGGGAGTGAGACTCCTTCTGTGCGGATCACCTTCCCCCTCTTTGTGATCAGCCGACCACACTTCTCTAGTCCTAATGACATCCCAATGTCAGTGCTGTAGATCCTGGTGGTGTGGATCAGTGAGTCGATGTCTCGCTCACTCTTGGCATACAGCTTGATGTCATCCATGTAGAGGAGGTGACTGATGTTGGCCCCATTTTTGAGTCGGTATCCGTAGCCAGTCTTGTTGATAATTTGGCTGAGGGGGTTCAGGCCTATGCAGAACAGTAGCGGGGACAGAGCATCTCCTTGGTATATGCCACATTTGATGGACACTTGTGCAAGTGGTTTGCAGTTGGCTTCAAGGGTGGTTTTCCACAGCCTCATCGAGTTTGCAATGAAGGCTCTCAGAGTCCTGTTGATGTTATACATCTCTAGGCATTCAATGATCCAAGTATGCGGCATTGAGTCATAGGCTTTCTTGTAATCGATCCAAGCCATGCACAGGTTGGTGTGTCGGGTTTTGCAGTCTCGGGCAACTGTGCGGTCTATGAGGAGTTGGTGTTTGGCTCCTCTGGTATTTACACCGATACCCTTCTGTGCCGTGCTCATGTGTTTATCCATGTGTTTGCTTATCTTGGCCGCTATGATGCCTGACATGAGCTTCCAGGTTGTGGAGAGGCAGGTTATTGGTCGGTAGTTGGGTGGGACTGGACCCTTTGATGGATCCTTCTGGATTAGGATTGTCCCCCCTTCAGTTAACCATTCAGGGTGAGTCCCACTTTGTAGCAGCTGGTTCATTTGGGCTGCCAGTCGCTCATGGAGAGCAGTGAGTTTCTTTAGCCAGTAGGCATGGATCATGTCAGGCCCTGGTGCTGTCCAATTTTTCATGCCTGAGAGTCTTTCTTGAACATCTGTCACAGTGATGGTTACCGGGGCTTGCTCAGGGAGGTTGCTGTGGTCCTCTCGTAGAGAGATCAGCCACTGTGCATTGCTGTTGTGGGACGCCTCCCTTTCCCATATGCCTTTCCAGTATTGTTCAGTCTCCAGCCTTGGTGGGTCTGCTCTGTTGTTATTACCCTGCCATTGAGAGTACACCTTAGCTGGTTGAGTGGAGAAGAGCCTGTTAATTCTTCTGGATTCATTCTTTAGGCGGCTGGCCAAGGCTTGGAGCCTCTGTTTGGCAGTCTCGAGTGCTTCAGGTATGGGCATCTGGCTGTACTTTCTGGGTACTGGTCTTTTCATTGTACCCTTGTGGAGCTCTGACAGTTGGCTCACTTTCCTCCTTGTTACCTTGATTTTAGCCTCTAACCGTCTTTTCCATGGTGGGTATTGGGTCTCATGGTTGCTCTTATAGCCAAGTATCTCGAGGATCACTGATGCTGAGTTGTAGATCAGCTCATTGGTTTCTGTTATGGTGTTGGTAGGGATCGTTCTCAATGCTGCATTCACATTCTCAATGAGACTTTCTGATGGTACTTCACTCAGCCGTTGTAATTGGCGCCGAGGAGGCCTGGTTGTCATTCGGGTCATGATTCTCTCTCTCAGGTCGCTCATTGGGGCCGTGTATCCCTCACTGGGTGGGGACTTGTAGTTAAGTCCCCACAGATCTGACATCCGGGTTCCTCCCTTTTGCCGTAGCATTTGTGTTGTATCTCGTCAATCTCAAGTTGTGATAGCAGTTGCCGTTTGCGGATGTTGGAACACTGAGCTACTAGTTGTTTAGCGCTTAATGTTGACTGGGGATGTCGAAGTAACCATTCCTTCCCCAGTCTTTGCATGTAACCCCTCTGACTAGGGTTACTTGAGTAGTAACATTCCAACAGATCCACATTTTCATCTCTCGCCCATTTCCGTCTTGTTCCAGTAGCCCATTTGTCATCAAGGTGCTCTGGTTCCCCAACACCTGACGCAGACCTTGTTTGGCCGGGCGACGTCTGAGCCGGCATGTTATGCAACTTAGTATCTCTCATGGTATGAGGTAGGCAGTAGCTTGAAGGGTCTTGCCTAAGGACCCAGACTGGATTCGAACCCTGCCCTCTCGGGTGATATACTGATGCCTTATGTATTGAGCTATCCAGTCAGCTATATATATATATATATATATATATATATATATATATATATATATATATATATATATATATATATATATATATATATATATATATAATATACACACACACACACAGTTAGGGCCAGAAATATTTGGACAGTAACACAATTTTTGTGAGTTGGGCTCTGCATGCCACCGCATTGGATTTGAAATGAAACCGCTACAACAGAATTCAAGTGCAGATTGTAACGTTTAATTTGAAGGGTTGAACAAAAATATCTGATAGAAAATGTAGGAATTGTACACATTTGTTTACAAACACTCCACATTTTAGGAGCTCAAAAGTAATTGGACATATAAACATAACCCAAACAAAAAGTTTTTTCTCAATATTTTGTTGCCAATCCTTTGGAGGCAATCACTGCCTTAAGTCTGGAACCCATGGACATCACCAAACGCTGGGTTTCCTCCTTCTTAATGCTTTGCCAGGCCTTTAGGTCTTGCTTGTTAGTGGGTCTTTCCGTCTGAAGTCTGGATTTGAGCAAGTGAAATGCATGCTCAATTGGGTTAAGATGGTGATTGACTTGGCCATTGCAGAATATTCCACCTTTTTGCTCTCATGAACTCCTGGATAGCTTTGGCTGTATGCTTGGGGTCATTATCCATCTGTACTGTGAAGCGCCGTCCGATCAACTTTGCAGCATTTGGCTCAATCTGGGCTGACAGTATATCCCGGTACACTTCAGAATTCATCCGGCTACTCTTGTCTGCTGTCAATAAACACAAGTGACCCAGTGCCATTGAAAGCCATGCATGCCCATGCCATCACGTTGCCTCCACCATGTTTTACAGAGGATGTGGTGTGCCTTGGATCATGTGCCGTTCCCTTTCTTCTCCAAACTTTTTTCTTCCCATCATTCTGGTACAGGTTGATCTTTGTCTCATCTGTCCATAGAATACTTTTCCAGAACTGGGCTGGCTTCTTGAGGTGTTTTTGGGCAAATTTAACTCTGGCCTGTCTATTTTTGGAATTGATGAATGGTTTGCATCTACATGTGAACCCTTTGTATTGCTTTCATGGAGTCTTCTCTTTACTGTTGACTTAGAGACAGATACACCTACTTCCCTGAGAGTGTTCTGGACCTCAGTTGATGTTGTGAACTGGTTCTTCTTCACCAAAGAAAGTATGCGGCGATCATCCACCACCGTTGTCTTCAGTGGACGCCCAGGCCTTTTTGAGTTCCCAAGCTCACCAGTCAATTCCTTTTTCCTCAGAATGTACCAGACTGTTGATTTTGCTACTCCAAGCATGTCTGCTATCTCTCTGATGGATTTTTTCTTTTTTTTCAGTCTCAGGATGTTCTGCTTCACCTCAATTGAGAGCTCCTTTGACCGCATGTTGTCTGGTCACAGCAACAGCTTCCAAATGCAAAACCACACACCTGGAAACAACCCCAGACCTTTTAACTACTTACTTGATTACAGGTTAACGAGGGAAAGGCCTTTTGAGTTAATTGCAGCCTTTTGAGTCCATTGTCCAATTACTTTTGGTCTCTTGAAAAGAGGAGGCTCTGCATTACAGAGCTATGATTCCTAAACCCTTTCTCCGATTTGGATGTGGAAACTCTCATATTGCAGCTGGGAGTGTGCACTTTCAGCCCATATTATATATAAATTGTATTTCTGAACATATTTTTGTCAACAGCTAAAATAACAAAACCTGTGTCACTGTCCAAATATGCTGGCCCTAACTGTATATATGTATATAAAGAAGGACATTAATATCTACAGGAAGCCAGTTTTATTAAAAGTAATTTATCATATAAAATACTTTTTGAATATGTTAAAATGGCTTTTCATAGTCTAAAACTTAGGGAAGAGAATAGTTTATGGTGCATTATTGGTTTCTTTTTTCCTGTTTTGTCTGCAGGCATTTAAGGAGATGCTGTATGCTGCCCAGGACCAAGCTCCATCCATTGAAGGTATTCCAGATAAACACCATCCAACTAATCATAGCCCTTACCCTACATATAGCTATTGTATGAATAATTGTAACCTCAAAAGCCTTAATTCACACCTTAGTCTCCAACCTGCAGATGTGATTTTGGGTCTAATTAGAACCAGTTCTATCCCATACGGATTTTATAGAAGTACTTGAACATTTGCGCAAAACATTGAACATCTTATTTGGCACATCAATGGTGGTGTTTCATTAAATACAATACAGGACACTGTTAAATACAAATATTTCCATTAACAATCACTGCAGTATTTTCCTCGGCTGTGCTCCATAATTAAGCCGGAGCATCACTGTTGGTCAGTATGGAAACACAGCACTGCGTTCTGTTGTGTCATTTAACAGTCTTGTGCCTTGTTTTTTTTTTTTTTTTTTTTTTTTTTTTTTGCGTTTGTTGTTGTTTTTTTTTTTTATGAATGTGTTACCTCAACTTGTGTTATTCCTTAATGATGTATTTCATGTAAAGTTACACCACCAGGAGCCATAGAATCATCTAAATGAAGCATTTCATGGACTAAGGCTCTTTTTTGGGTTAAATACAGGCCTCTTTGTACTAAATAATACTTCTTATCATGGCATGTCTATGTCACCTTTAACTGGTATCTTCATATGGCTAAGCAGGCTTTTTGTTGTGAAATGATCTCATCTTTGTTAGACATGACCACACACCATGGTGGTCATCATGTCTGCAGGCATTACTGAAACGATTACTTCCTTCTTATTTTCAGGCTCCCTATAAATTACATTCATTCGATATCATGTTTAATCTTTAATTTAAACATGATTTGGGCATATTTATGATATGCCCAAATAAAAAGAGAAAAGAGAGTACAGCAGTGGTGTGAGGCTTAATGATAAGAACAGAAGAAATCAGTGGATCCAGATTCCAGTAAAGGCAGTTTCTATATTTAACTAAATATATAAGTTGAAGGAAGCACCATGAAACTTTCATAGTGTTACAATCTAGCTGAGGTTTATCTAAAAATTTGTAGTTTAACTTGGTTTCATCCTCATTTAATGAGGAAGAAACTTGTGAAATGTCTGATGATGTCCGTTTTTTTCAGCTTTTCACAAACTGGGTTGAATGCTTGTAGATATTTTGTTTCTGAAGAATTTCTTCTGGATTAAGGGAAATTAAAAGTTTGACATTTAAGACAAAAATGTCATTTTCTTGATGAATTATTACATTCATATATAGTCACAAGTTGTGACTATATATTTTAGAACTGGGTGATATGCAATTGTTAATGTAAGATGTGCATAGTTTTTTTTCATTTCACATTTTCTGCAAAAGCAGCCATGCTTTTGTTTTCACCATGTCGACATCTTTCCCCTTGAGAGCAGAGAATCATCTGTAGAAGGCTGGGGCTGCACCCTGTACCTCGAGAGCCAGAAGTAGCTATTTGGACCTTCCATGATGGTTCTTAGTAGGGATGCAATATTTATCGGCCAGCCGATTTATTGGTGCCGATTTCCTTAATTTTTGGGAGATAGGTGGTCAGGCAATCTTATCCACCAATGTTATCTACACTTTGCAAAGGTCTAAAAATCAAACACCTTGCTTTTCATTTCTCCTGTGAGAGAGGTTTGACTGACAAACTGGCCAACCAAGTTATGTCTGCACATTTGTCACCCCATCATTGCCAATTCAGTAGCCTTCTTGATATATTGAGCAATATTTCAGACAAAAAAAAAATGGTATCGGCCAAACTCGGAATCTGTAAGTTAGGCTTTTTAAAAGATCGGTAATCAGCAATTGGCCAGAAAACTGCAATTGGTGCAGCCCTAGTTCTTACTCAATATGGCTAAAAATGATAAAGAACCAAGTCACATTTTTGAATATAGATATAATGTTGAATGCAGCTTTCAAGCAAATATCTACATCATATTGATTGACAGACAAACCTTGTTGTCATTCAACATTTAAAATTTACATATTAACCCTTGTGTTGCTTTGTGGGTCAAAAGTGTCTTTCACATAAATTTACCATGTTCAGCTGTAGAAAAAAATACCCTAAACTATCTTTTTCCAACTTGAAATTATATGACTTTTCCTAAACTCGTATACTCTTTTTGTAATGATCTTATCATTACAAAATAAGATCATTTTTGTAATGATCTTATCATTATAAAAAGTGTTTGTTTATATTTTCATGTGGGCTGTACACCACTAGGGTACAAGGATTGTCTTATGGCTCATTTTTATAAAAGTATTTAAACACCAGAAAGGGTTCATCACCACACACACACACGCACCTGCACACCCCCTCCCCACACGCACACACACCTACACACACACATATCAAAGAAACTGTTGATGTACGAATTGAACTTGCATTTGATCTGCACCTGCAGTCTCAATCTGAAGCTAACTCCTCACATCACATCAAGCTCCCAAATACTACACTGGTCCTTCATAGTATGTTTGCATATACTGTCCTACATGAGATCTTCAGCATAAGAAACCGAACATCTTATGTTGAACAAATTCTTGTGCTGAAGATGTTTAACATAAGAGCATCTTTATAAGATGAAGAAAGTCTTCCTATGGGGATGTTCTTCATCTTTTGTTGAACATCACGTGTAATTATGAGATGTTGATGTTGAACAATTCAACATCAACATAAGAAATTATGTGAAATTGTTCAAAAAAATAAAAAAAAATTTTTGTTGTGTTATGAGAGGTATTTTTATAATTCACTTGAACCGTTGACAAAACAGTTCCAAATTGTTTACTTTTTTCCCTTTTGGTATAATTACTTCAAAAGTAATAACTTCACACTTACATGATTGCAATAATAAACCTTTATTGTGTAAAAGAAAACTGCTACAACATTTGGTTTGTGGTAAAAAGTATAAAAAGTGTGTAATACTGTTGACCATCTGTTGGAATTAAATGGAGTTGAATATCTCATCATGCAAAATAGATTTTGGATTTAAAATTAAATTAATTTGCTTTATGTTGGGGCTTTTGTTGGGGCAGGTCTTTTTTGACCTGTAAGACGAGAGGAGTAAACAAAATATTAGGATCGCACGAGGGTTAAGTAAAATTTTGTTGCAATGCTCCAATCATAATAAAGTATTTATAATATTTTAGTAACTAAAATTAAGCTCTATTTTAATGAAAAATTAGAAGGAGTTTAGTAGTCATATGCAAGAAAATGTATCCATCATCCGTTTGCAGAAATTGTATGCTGGTCTTTTTCTTGAACCCATAATTAGAAATAAAACTGTTCTTTCAAAATTACAACACATTTTATATTGTAGATATTAATCAAAAATAAAAAAATCATAAAACATTTAAAACTCTAAAGCTTTTTATTTAGCTTGACTGAAGGCGAAGACGTTTTTTTGGTTGTAGAATGTAATGAATGCAATGAGAGATGAGCATCAGAGGTAGTGACTAAATATGTTATTGGTAACATATTTAGAGACTGAAATCATGGTAATGGACTTATAATGGCCTACTAAATTTTTGACACAAACATTTGACATTTTCAAAATGTCACTAGCTCTATGTAGAGCTAGTGTACTGCTAGAAACTAAACTCTAATGACCAGGTCACAGAGTTGCATACTCTGTCAGACTGTAGGTTGTCCATTCAACCTTTTTGTAAAATACTTGTTCTAATGTGTCTTCACACATCCCAGACAAACTGCTCATCAGTCTAATTAGTGACTTTCAGGTATTTTTTTTCAGTTTAAAAAAAAAAAGCTGAAAAAACAATGAATTCAGTAATGTGTCGAAGTTGAATTACTGCCACTGAGTACTGTACTCAGTGGCAGTACAGTACTTATCTTTCTTGGGTACCCTTTAAATACCCTGGCAAGCTGTCAGAGACAGACTGTAATCACTACACCACACAGTGGAGCTGCAGCAGTAGCTTACCCTGCCTTGCTCAGTGAAGCCAGGCTTGGTAACCTGGTTAAAGTGGCGGATAAGATTTGAGGGAGGACTCAGCTGCCTTTAACAGGCAGGTGCTGAAGAAGTCAAGCCAGCCTCTCTTTCGAACCTTGTGAGGAGGAGCTTGACATTTACTGATGTGTAACAATAACAGCTCAATTTTTAAGGTGACCTGGACAAAAATGATAAAAAAGTATGAAATGATATTCAATTTAATAACAAAGCAACAGGTTCACAAAGATGCTTCTAAAAAATGTCTATACACCAGTTTTTAGTTAACGTATTCATCCTCTGTCAATTTATTAGATGAACTATGTTTTTCCAGGCATGTATAGCCTCTTTAGTTGGTCTAGAGCTCTGCTTTGTATCCTGAGTTAAGATCTGGGGTGTTTTGTCCTACAGTCCAAGTTATGTGGTGTTTTCCAGACACCATTCTGGAGCCATTTTGCTCGCTTGTGCTCTGGCATGTCCTGAATCATGCCAGAGCCGTTAGCGAATACTAGCATTTTCATCAGCCTGTTTGACAACCAAAGCCACAATAGCTTTTCTCCCAAGGAACAAACTTAATATTTTTTGTAAACTGTTAAGGCCCTACCAAAAGAGGAAATCAGTTCTCAGGTGTAGGACAACTGTTTTATTTTTATAAAACTAGTCCTTATCTGTGGACCAGCTGCAGCCTTGTGTTGTTGCTGCTGCTTATTGCAGAAAGCTGAGTAAGAGTAAAAAAATAAACCTAAAACCCCTCAATTTTAAAATGGAAAGTATAGGCTGTTAGTGAGACAGACGTGTCATAATGATAATTATGATAATGATGATGACATGTGCTGAGACAGAGAGTGAAAACAGCAGAATAAGGCCAAAAAAGGATAAGAAGATTACTGTCTTCTGACTGCCAGCTGTTTGTGTGCTGCACAGGGAGTGGTCCAACTGACTTAATTTGGTGTTTTGTCTAAAAGAGTCCGAGTTAGAACACGGTGATTCACTTAGTCTGCATGGTGTGACTCAAAACCACCTGCTCACACGATGTTTGGACTCACAGTTCCAAAAGATCATCAGAAAACA